AGAGGGTGCCCCACAGCGCCCTCTGGTGTTGAGTTTCCTGGGCACATCTCAGACTGAAGAGCCTGGCTGGAATCCCTCTTGGGCAGCACCTGCCTATACTGGGCTTGGGGTCAGGAGCCCAGGAAGGGTGACACTCCCCAGGGTCTGTATGTAGTGTAAGCAAGTTTTGAAAGTGATTGTGAAGAATGAGGGACAGGCAGGAGCTTCTCTGATCTCTGCTTTAGATCCCAAGGGCCATCTTGGGGCACTTCTGAGCGACCCTGATGCAATGGCAGAGTGGGGTTGCAGGGGTTCTCCGTGTCTCCAACTAGCAGCCCCCTGCTGTGGGATTCCTCACGCCTTGGCTTCTGGTTTCACAAGCCTCAACCCCCACGGGTTTCAGATACAGTGAATGGAGAGGTCAGGAAGCCATGTACCATCCCTGTGTCCCAGGACAATAGTCCAGAGCTCAGGATGGTCAACACTGCTCTGGCCAGTGACTCCTGCTCATAGGGCAGGAGAACTCTGGTCCTCCACCCTCGAGGCACAGTGTGACCATTAGAGGTCCCTTCAGTGGGACATCTGAGCCTGATTATAATTCATGCCATTACCACTCTCTGGGGACACTGAGTCTGTCTGGCCTGGCACCTGCCTGTCCCTCTACAGCACCTACTGCCGTCAGCACTGGCTGCTGTGAAGCTGCTGGCAACGCCCTTTACCTCTCTGAACCTTAAGTTCCTGCTCAGCGAAGAGACCCCCCAACACTTCTCCCAAGATGATGTATAGCGTCCGTCGGAGGCCACTGACAAACGAGTGACTTCAGGATGTCAGCTCCCCCGACATTCTCCGTTTGACCTTCCCAGCACCTGTAAGGGAGGCATCGCTGACTAACAGGTAGAAAACAGCTCAGAGAGGCCGCCTGGGGCCACACAGCTGGTCAGTGGCTGGCATCCCAGGGCCCCGGAGCTGCAGACACTGGCTCTCTGCCAGGCAGAGGCTCCAGAACAGCAGGACTCCTTGTTTTCACGTCCCCGGTGGTTTCCATGGCAAATGGGTCGTAGCCACTGTGTGTGTATGCTCTGGGAACAGGGCCAGACCACTGCAGTTCCCAGTGGGCTGGAAGCCGGATTCCTCTCCTGGACTTTGCCCCTCTCAGGGGCCAGCTCCAAGGCTGGCAGAATAAAATGGATGGGGGTAGTGTGGGGAGGGTGCACGCGGGAACACAGAGGCTCCTGAGCCGGGGAAGGTAGCATAGGAAAATGTCTCTGAATGCTCTGAGTGGGAGCAAGGTGACGGGAGCTGAGGACAGAACCCCTGGAGCACCCTGAAGCTAGGGGCAGCTGCCAACCAACCCACGGAGCCCTCTGACATCTTTCTCTGTAGGAAGCCATCCTAATGTGCTTGGGTCCTCAGAAGAGGTGGGGGAATGTATTTCCCAAGCCTATCACAGGAGGTCACAATTGTGGGATCAAAGGTCCAGGGGCTCAGAGCCTGATTCCCAGTCTACCCCTCCATGCCTCGGGATGGAGGCCTCCTCCACTGGGCCTCAGCTGTCCCTATCCAAAAATGGGTGAATATGGGAGATGATGAGGGCTGAGCCACGAAGGATCAGTGGGGCTCCAAGGTGACGCTTCCTCCAGCTACCCCAGCGCCAGGGTCAGAGAAGATAGCTTTGAAGAGACGATGCAGAACCAGGGACTAACTTGGAAGGTCAAGGCCAAGAGAGGGTCAGGGGCTCCTAGAGGACACAGCCACGCAGTGACCAAGACCAGGCTAAACTGGTGTCCACCTTGGCCATTCTACTCGGCCTCAGCTTGCTCCTTCATGCCCCAGAGGCTGGGTTGGTCCCTGCAGGACAGCCAGGAGACTAACAGGTGAAACCCAGTCCTGATACGGGATCTCACTGCTCAACTCATCCCGAAGGTTGGCAGGGTGGGGTTCCTCGGAACTGCAAGGGCCCATAGGGAAGACTTCTGCTACGAGCTTGCAGCAAGGACTACAAACCACACCACAGAGGCACACCACACCACACTGCAAAGGGGAGGGCACACAGTCTTTATTGGGGACACGGGACAGGCACAGCAGAGACACTCAGGTCCCCACAGGGCAAATGGGGTGAGACAGAATCGGGGGACAGGCAGTGTGACCCAAAGGGGTCTCGAGAGCGGTAGGGAGAGGTCAGAAAGAGAAGCAGAAAGGGAGGGCCCCTGCCTAGGCATGGCTCCCTAGAGTCGGCAGCGTCTAGACGCACTAGCAGGTGCTTCTGCAAGCATGCGACAGCGCACAGCCACCAGAGCCAGTGCCACAGCCTATCTCCTCCCTCCAGAATCCTGACTCTGAGCCGGGGCTTGCCCTCCTGGCCGCCCACCCGCCGGAACGGCTCCTACCTTCAGATCCTGATGCACTGGTACCTCAGATGGAGGCAGCCTTGAAACAGAGCGGGTGGCATTGCTGAGGTACCCCCGGCGGATGCTAGGTGGCAGGTGAGGCTTCTCCTCTAAGGGAGGCTCTCGGTACGTGTAGGGTGATAGAAAATGAGGCTTTGGGGCAGGACTGAATCTGCCGATAACTGTGCCTCAGTTTCCCCGTCAGTTTGGTGAGTGGGCTTTCCTGGATAGCCTCCGAAGCCAGTGTTAGGCATCCCATCTGAACACCTTTAGCCCACTTTAGACTCAGACATCATACCTGCCCCCAAGCCTCACCCATGTGCTTCCGCTCCAGCAGAACCAGTAAATGCCCAGAGAGGTGACCGCAGGACACAACACCCGTGTTCCTGACCAGCGAGCTGCAAAGGCCAGCCATCCTAACAGGGACATCAGTGTTCCTGGCTCAGAGCCCTGGACCCCTCTAACTCAGTTCTCTGCTTCACCAATTGAGCCTCAGTTTCCCAGTTCAGGAAGCCCTGCACCAAGGAGGGCTCAGCCAGGGTTACCTCCACCATGCCCAGGAACAGTACCAACTGAACTAAAGTTAGCCTTATTCCTGACTAGTATTCGCCCTTGGGCATGCAGCCATACAAATATAGCATGCCATCTCTCAATATATATATATATATGTATGTGTGGGTAGCGTCTACATGTCCTTTACCTTCTCCACAGAAACCTGGGCCAGGCCTGCAAAGCCGGCTACCCTCTGCCAGACAGACCAAGCCCGGCTGTCATCCTGCCCAGCGTCTTGAAGGCCCCAAGGTCACAGCAGGGGGACACTGACCCTGGCAGCACCCTCCCGCTGCCAGAGTGCCCCTGGGCGTTCACCTCCCAACTCCAGCTTTGGCCAGCAGGCAAATGCCTTCTTGCCAGGTTCCCCAGAAGGCAGTTCCTGTCGTGTCCCAGTCTTCCGTGCCTGAAGGAAATCAGCGGCTGGTTGTTTGGAACTCTTGGTCTCTCAATTCCCCTCTCTCCACCACAATGAAGCAGAGACGGCAGATGTCCAGGATGTCCAGCCATCTGCCCACAAAGGCCTCTATTGTCTATAGTAGCGGTGTCTAGCTTCTAGACTACGGAGCCAGGGGACATCCCTGTGAGCCACGGCACTGGCACCAAAGGGGGGGCATGTAGGACTCAGGGGGCCTCTGGCCAAGTCAAGCACAGAAGGAGCAGCTAGAAGAATGTCCCCAAAATACACACGAGGAAGGAAGTTCAGGCGAGGGAGAGCTGTGGGCCAGAGGCAGGGCAGCCAGGGATGGTCATCAGAGCTGGTTAAACACCACGGAGGCCTTGAGGTTGGCAGGCTCCACGCCCTCGCCAAAGGTGATGAGGAAATACATGACCTTGCGGATTTTGGCCAGGTCAGACAGACGCTCCCCAAATTCCAGGGCATCGGCCTCATTCCAATCCATGGCGTCGGAGTCTTCCTTGCGCCAGAAGATGGCAGCAGGGTCCAGCAGCTGGCGTGTCATGAGGTTGGTGAGGTCGGGCGTCCAGTTCTGCGAGGTGCCCGTGATGGTGACCTTGCCCGGCTTGTCCAGAACCACATCCCAGCGATCGAACTGGAGCTTCTGCTGCTGGATGAAGTCAAGGCGGTAGACAGACTCGGCCGGCCGGAGGAGCTTCTCGCCATCCTGCCGCTTCTCCCCACGCTGCTTCAGGCTCTCCACACGGAGCCGCATCTGCTTGGTCAGGTCCTGGTCTAGAACCAGCGGCATGTCCAGCTGCTGCTTCTGCGGCCCGTCCTCTGCCATGGCCCAAGTGCTACAGCTCTTGCCACTGCCGCCGCTCCCACCGACGTCAAGGAACCAAGTGGGCTGGAACCTCAGGTGCCTGAAGAGGCCACCCGAAGACCCGCCTCCCTTTCCAGCCTCTCCTTTTCGCCACTGGCCCTCTCTGGCCCCACCCAGTTCTCAGAACGGGAGACCCGCGAGTGTGTGCCCAACTGCCTCCTGCCTGTTCCTTGCAGAAGTAGCAATGCCGAGCTGCAGGCAGGCTGGAGGGTGACAGGCTCCTTAGGGACCAGAGCACTGATGTCAACTGCTGTGGCAACCACCTTGACTACAGTAGTAGTGGCAAGCTGGAGGCCTGCTTGTTTGTGAGGAATGGAGAGAGGTTGGGGGGGGGGTACAGACAGACACACGGAGGTAACTGAAGACAGTCCGGGAAGAGGGGACAGGGCAGCACCAAGATGCACTCATCAGTAGTTTTCTGTAGTCAGCCGAGCCAGCTGGGGGCCATTCTTGCCTCCTCCTCCTCCTCCTCCCTTCATTCCCTCATAGCTACCTGCCAGGTCCTGCCAACGCTGCTTTCCAAATGCCCTGGGCATCTCCCTCTCCCATAACATCAGCAGGACCCAGCCCAGCTGTCATCTCCCATCTGAACCCGCAGCTCTCAAATCCCAAACCGCCTGCCAGACAGATGGCTGGCTCTGCTCCGGGACGCCGTGGTTTGATCGACCTCACCACACACTACACCACATAGCCACGGACCCGGCTCTCATTTCCATCAAAATCCCACCAGCCATTCCACCCACACTGATCCTCCACCTCCCCAGGGAAGCATCAGGAGACCCACACACTGGCGAGGAGTATGGGGGG